CCCAGGCCGGAGCGCCCGGCTGCGCCGCCGCTCCGTGAGGTGGAAGTGCGGCCGGCTCCCGTGCTGCTCCCTTGCTCCGGGTGATGTTGAAATAAGTTCTTCCAACCTCTCACCGGGACCTTTCATCGGAGCTTTAACGCGCTGGCACTCTCGCCCAGGGACCAGGAGCACACCGAAGTATTTACGATTTACAGCAACACCAGTCCCCGGAGCAGCGTGGATGAGAAGCCCTACACTGAGGATGGGTTTTTGGTAAAAAGCCAAAGGGACAGCAGCGATCCGGAGTGATGGCGTTACTGGATTCACTATCAATTCACGTTTCTAGTTCAGGAAAAGGCATCTGGAGGAAATGGTCCGAGGTTTTGCAAAGCAAGATATTGCAAGGTGAGTTTTGACTGTGGGTACCTGCCCTGTCTCTGCCAGGGAACACACGTGCAGAGAACATACATTTTCTTGCTGGGAAATGGCATTTCTAAAAAATAAAAACAGATGCTAAAGGGACATAGTGATTTTTGTAACTATAATGTTGAAATTACTTTTCTGCTTTCTGTACATATTAAATATATTCTGATCATTTCCTCTCTCTCTCCTGTTTCATGAAAAAAAGCCATTCCTGCACATCCCCAAACTGAGTCAGACCTGTGTCAGTTGTGATACAGGATTAACCTAGGGATAATAATTTTGGGGGACTATATAAAGGAAAAAAAATAAAATCTTCTATAAAATATAACCTTTGACCACAACAGGCTGTATTTCTCTGGTGATTTTAGTGCCTGGCTTCCTCAGGTCCTACACTAATGAGCTCAGTGTTTAACTACCCTTTATTTCCTTCTCTAGTCCACTATTTAATTTCCATCCTTTTTGAGGTTTCTAGGCAGCTTTTAAGCCCTGAAATACACAATCCTGAGCAGCTGCCCCTGCATCCAGCCTGTGCAGGAGTGTCCAGGGAGCAGCTGGGAGAGGGCAGCTGTGCTGGAGATGGGGGCAAGGCTGCCCCACAGCACAGAACCCTGCTCCCCCAGCTGCACAGCACAACAAAGCCTTCAGCTCCAGTGACAATTGCCACTTCCAGCCTGCAGAGCTGTGTTCATCCTGCTCTCTGTGGGAAAAAAAGGGCAAAGGCCTAAGACTTCCTAGCATCAAGCAACCCCCAAAACACAGAGCAGAAAGGTCTCACCTGAGTGAGCCAGTGCAGCATTGGCCACCCTGAAATGCTGTGACCAGGGACAATTTATGGTCTCACACTGGGTCACCTGAAACCAGCCCTGCCACCTGCCCTTACCCCCAGCTCTGGTGACCACCTGGGTGTCCCTGAAGGCTGAATCCCCCTTGCCACCCACAACTGCCAGACATAACAACTCTTACCAGCCTCCTCGAAGAGAGCACACAGCACGGCTGACCGCAGCACTGGGACCACTACTAACACATCCAGCAGGAACAGGGCTTTACATCCAATTGTGTTTGCCACTTGCAGCTGGTTTCACAGGCAGCCCCTGGGCCACAACACCTTGAGTCTGCATGGAAATCAGCTCTGAGGGGTATTTTGGGTCTCCGGTGATGCAGTTTAACTGCATTCAGGTGGTGCAGGGGTTAAACAGGCCCCCACCTGGAAATAGTCAAGTTAATGATCAACCCCCGAATTACTAGAAGTGAAAGAATACCAGGCTGCCTATGAGGCCTGGGTGTCGTGACCCTCCCCATCACAGCTGAGCTGAATTTATCTGAAGCGATTCAGAGAGGCAAAATCTGCCACTTCCCTCGATGAAATTTCAGTGAAGTGGAATCTATCACCCCGGCAGGGAATGACATTTTAAACTGCTTTAACTCAGTATCAGTGTTCAAATTGATTAGCCTATTTCATCTCAATGGAAATTCTCACCTCATTACATTAGCGGCCAAACTTCAAATAATTTTTGAATCAAATACTGCTTAAACAGTATTTCAAAACACTTAGCTGACAAAATTCATCACTTAATTTCAAATTACTGCCTGCATTTTATGCTAAATTGTCAGTGGATGAAATACGTATCAGTGTGGGGAGCTGAGCCTGGCAGCTGAGGTTTCCTACTCGGCAGTTTCAAAGAAGCCCATTTTTCTGTCTCAATTGATGGATGTCTCGCTCCTGGCTGAGCAGGGAGCACAGACTCAGACAGAGGCTCTGGACAGTATTTTCTGTCCTTCCAAAACCTGTGTTTTCCCCTGAGGGATGGATGGGATGCTCACCAAGGAATTAAATAGGTTTGATCTCCCTCAGGGAGGGCTGTGGGCTGCACCCAAGCCCTCCATTCCCAGTGGTTTCTTTAACAGGTAGGGGAGGGCTTTCCAGCCAGGCTCTAACTGAGCCTAAGATGCTTCACCACCCAGTTCTTTCCATGCCTGGTCTGTCATTTGCTTCTCCTTACAGGCTAGAAACCACTGCAGTAGGCAACAGTGTAAAATTCCAGCTCACGGCACTGTCTCCACCAACTGTGTTTTAGAGGACATTTTTAGTGAAGGGAAAAATCGTAATAAAAATCCTGTCCAGCATGCTCTGAAAACACTTCTGCTCCATCCAGCACTTAAGCCAGGCTTAGAGAGCTGCTCTCTGTACACAACCTGTCTTTTAAAACATTGTGGATCACAAAGGACCAGGAGCTACCTTCATAGGCTGTGGCATCAGAATGGGAATTCTGAATATACCTCACAAGTCTGCTTAAACCCTGCTTTAAACACCTAAGGATTCACTGACCTGTCTCAGTTGCTGCTACACTGCACTCAAGTTGCTGCATTTCCAGGTTGTGCTGCTACACTCCACTGGGGCACTTCTCTAGTGCTGCACAATGCTTCTATTACTTATATGAAATTAAAAAAAAAAAAAAAAAAAAAAAAAAAAGACTCCTTTGATTAAATAAGCTGTGATAGAAATATATTTACACTATGCACATTTTTACAGGAAATACAACTTGCTAAAAATCTGCAATTAATAACACCACCACCCTGCAATTCACTGCAGTCAAAACTAAAGGATTTGAATTTTTAAGGTTTTTATTAGAGAAGTTGAAAGTTTCATCTCAGGACTGACAATAACATAATTATCTCTCTTCATTTATTTTGTTTATAGGAATATGTAGAATTTGTTTGTACAAGCATATACAACAAAGTAATTGGTGCTTAGTACATTGAAATCAGAAATCTGATTTGTTCTAAACTACCAGTTTTCCATGCAGTCATCTTTGAATTGGCAGCATGGACAAATTCCAAGCCGAATGCTTACATGCATTGTTTTGCAATATAACTACAGCAAGCTCTGGAAACATGCAAATTAACACATTAGCAAATTGTTTTTATATCTAATGGACATAAAAAGGTTATTCCTGATATGAAATTCTGAAAATCTGCATAAATACTTCTGTGTAAAATTAAATTAGTTATGTACTTCTTTTTTACTACAAGTATCAAGAATGCCCACGTAATTAATATACACACATATATATAGAGACCTTGTAATGCTAAAAGTCTTTGTAATTAATCAAACAATATTCTGTGCCATACATTTACTCAG